AAAGGGCTTTTCAGAATTTTGGTGTCCGTGTCTTTTTTCTCATTTTTTTTGGTTTGTTTTTTGAGGCAATCAGTGTTAAGTGACTTGCTCAGGGTCACACAGCTAGTCTGAAGCCAGATTTGAACTCAGGTTCTCCTGCCTCCAGGGCTGCTGTTCTATCCACTGCTCTATGTAGTTGCTCCTGGTGCTTGTGTCTTTTTGAAAATTATTGCCACCAGGTTTCATTGATGTGTACTGAGATAGATAAAAGCATTTATTAAGGGCTTACTATGTGGCAGGCACCATAGTGCTAAGTTCTGGGAATGCACAAGTGTAGGCCAGGGAAGACGGGGATATGTTGGTTCTTAAGTATGTGCCCAGTTCATCCTATCTAGCAAAAGGACCCAGGTGCTGGGGAGTCATACTCTCCTTGTCCGTTTTCTCTGGCTCTAATGGACAGAAGGGCTGAGGAATGGCCAAACTTTTCTGGAATAACCCCATATCTCTCATCTGTGTGTGATGGGGTGATGGTGAACGCTGACTCCTCTCAACTTCCTATATTAACAATAAAACAATGAATGACAATAAAACATCCATTGAGTGACTCCAAGTCATCCGTTCTCTTAGACCCCAGGAGTTGTCCTAGATAAGGAATCGATCTGCACTTAAATGTTCTAGGATTTAGGCAGTTTGAGTCCTCCCTAATAAATGCAAACAGCATGGTTTCCACAGGAAGTTTTCTACATCCAGCAGGGCCAGTCATCTGATGGAAATGAAACAAAACAAAACAAGCAAACAAACAAACAAAAAAAAACCCTGGGCTCGGGATCTCAGCTCTGTCCTGGGCATGACACTCAGGATCTTGTGGGAATTGGAACTTATGTGGGTGGCACATTGACCGTTCTCAGCTGTGTGGTCATTCAGAGGGACCTCTTCTTTTCTGACCCTGGAGCTGTGTCAGCTGCCACCCTGGCAACCCTGTTTTTGCATCTCCTTACTGCTGTGACTTTCCATCCATGCCCCTAGAGTTCCAAATAGCAGACCTGGGTGGCAGCAGGGCAGGCAGATGGAGAAAGCTTCTTCTAGAATTATTATTTGGGGAGCTTTTAAATGACTCAGTCATATTTTGTTTTGTCCCTTACAGCTCGACGGCTGTTCTTGACACAAAAACCAAACACAGACAAGAGACGCGTAGCTCGGTCTTCTTTGTCATGAGTTGTCATCATCCAATTCACACCGAACGGTGAGCACGTCCTTTCTCCTACCCACCTTCTTTTCTTTCCCAACAGAGCTAAACTGTAACGCTTTTTGGGGGGTTTCCTTAGCTTTTAAAGCAGCCTCAGCTCGTTCTGAGCTCCTGCTCTCCCGACATTCTTCTTGCAGACGCACGTCTTGTGTGGCGCTCATTCTGGGGCAACTTCCTTCACTCCCGCTTACGTTGGTGGATCAGGTCCCCAGAGGGTAGTCAACTGCTTCTCCCTTCAGGGTTCTAGAGGTAACTCTGAGGGGTTGGGAGGTGGTTTCTAGTTCTATTGCTCATGAGCCCTCCCCACTTGTATGTTCCTCATTGATTAGCAACCTGCCATATGTAAGTACTTTTTCATCAGGAGTATTTACTAAGCAGGTATATTAAGAACAGTTGGTACAAATACCCCCCTCCCCATCCTATAAGTGCATACAAGATCTAGAGGAAAGTGGGTTCACTCTTCAAGAGCACGTGAGGCATAGGGGTAACAAGGCTCCGGTTTCTGGAGCTCCCCTTCGGCGTTTATAGCTCCTCGTTGGGCTCTCAAGATAGGTGTCTTTTTTGGCATCCTTGGTGTGTCTGGTCTATCCTAGGTTCCAGATGTAGATGTTGCCATCCGCCACAGCTGTTCTGTGGACAGGGAACACTGGCAGGAAATCTAAGTCATCCACTGGCAGTGGAGGGAGTAGGGTTCTCCCTCTGGACCAATGGCCTCCCTCCTTCTTGCTGCTCTCTTAAAGCATTCCCAAAGCTTAATTCTCAAGTCGTTGGAATGATCCTGCCAGAATCTTCTGACATACCTAGGCCCAGAGGTGTGTCTAACTCTTTGAATCAATCCCATGATCGCTATGTGAAATATCATCACCAGAAGGGTTCTTGAGAGGAGTGGTCCAGGAAGGAACAGGACAGTGACTTTTGGTACTCAGCCATTCTGCAATATTCACCAAAAGCTGTATTTTTTACATGTGGCAATTTTTTTTCTTCAAGATTCCTAAAAAGGTTACCTCTGATCATCTTGTGGGAGGAGGATGTCTGAAGGCTTGGGGTGAGGGGAGCACATGTTTTGCTGAACAAAGTTGGAGAAAATCACAAACCTATGCTGACTTTGTCCATTATGAATTTATGTTACATTACTTCAACTGGGCCCTCACTACAGCAAGGTAATCCTTTTACCTCTTCTTAATTAACTCACTATGTCACTTCTCACAGTAACTTGCAAATCTTTTCATCCCTTCTCAGCCCTCTAGTACCCCACACCCTCTCATCTGGGAACCGTGACTTATATTTACTGAAAAAAATTACAGGCATTCGCTGACAGCGTCCTCTCCTCCCCTCTCCTCAGCTCATCACTCACATGCCTTCTGCAGCTATCTCCTTCACCCCAGCTCACATGATGAAGTAGCCCTTCTCTCGCTAAGGCCTAGCCCTTTACTTACACAAGTGATACTAGTCCATCCCATCTTCTGCATCAGATTGCCCGCTCTATTATCCCTGTTTTCACTTATCTTCAACCTATTAACTGATCCCCTACTGCCTATGAACATGCCCATCTCTCCCCCACCCTCAAAAAACCTTTACTTGATCCTCTCAGCCTTCCCAGCTATCATTCTGCATCTCTTCTCCCTCCTGGAGAAGGCTGTCTACACCACATGAATCCACTTCCTCTCCTCTCTCTCTCAACTTTCTACCTCTATGGTCTGGCTTCTGACCTCAACCAAAACTCCCCTCTCCAAAGTTACCAATCCTCTGCTAATTACTGAAACTAATGGCCTTTTCTCAATCCTCATCCTTCCCGACCTCTCGGCAGCCCTTGACACTATCAGTCAGCCCCCCTTTCATGTCTTCTCTCTACCTTGTTATTCTACTCAATTCTGGTTCTCTCCCTAACTTTCTGAACATTTCTTCAGTCTCCTTTGCTCATCTTCATCCACATCATGGCCGTTAAATGTAGGTATCCCACAAGGCTCTGTTTAGAGCCCTCTTCTCTTCTCCCTCTACACTGTATCTCTTGGTGATTCTATCAGCTCCCACAAATTCAATGTTCTGATGATTCTCAAATCTACTTATCCCGCCCTACACTGTCTGCTGATCTCCAGTCTTCCATCTCCAATTGCCTTTCTGACATCTTTAATCTGTCATATAGTTGTTGTTGTTTTTAAAACAAGGAGGAGATATTAAACTTAACACATTGCTGATAAAATTTCCCGACCGTGTTTTCTCTTGGATATTTTAAAGTGTTTAATATCAGTGATACCAAACTCAAATAGAAACCATCCCAGTGGCGTCATATTGATGACATTATGTCATGTTGTGCTTTTATGTAGTTTGTTAAACATTTCCCAATTACAGTTTCATCTGGTTCTGGCAACACCACCAATTCTCCCCTTTCCTTTTTTCTTTTCAAAATTTAATTCTTGAGAATAAGTGCCCATATTTTCTGGGCTGACTTCCCCAGTGGTATTGATTTTAGGCCATCTCCTCCGATCCAACCTTCCTGGAATCCTCTGCCCAAATCTAGGGTGCATGGCAGCCTAGGTGAGGGTTTTCTTACTTTCTAGGACACAGTAATCCCTTCCTCCTAGGATTCCTGTCATGTTCTTTGTCGAAGAGAATCAGGTCTAGACTAATAATCCCCGCCATGGTTTCTCCAAAAGGAAGACAAGGCGACCACAAAGCTGGTTTGCTCTGGTTTTTGTCAGAGATGTCCAGCCGATGCCCCCTAGAGAATGAGTGGACTCAGCTGTGGCAGGACAGCGGCTTTGGGAAAAGGCAACCGTACAGATCTCCCCGACCAAGCGAGGGCAGCTGGTGGTCTAGTGAATAGATCTCTGGGCCTGGAGTCAGGAAGACAGGAAGACATTCATTCAAATCCAGCTCAGACACTGAACAAGCTATGTGACCGTAGGCAAGTCACCAAAGCCTGTCTGCCTCAGTTTCTTCAACCGTAAAATGCCCAGGATCACAATGGCATTTACCTCTCAGGGCTGTGAAGATCAAATAAGATAGTATTTGTACTGAGACAGCATTTGTCAAGCGCTCGGCACAATTCCCAGCACGTGGTAGCCGCACAAGTGAATGCTTATTCCGATGCCCAGCAGACCGTGGGTAAATCCCGCGCTCTGAGCTCACGTGGGCTGCAGGACCGCCCCGCCCCCTTAGGAAGCGCAAGCCTAGGGGGAGGCCCTCCCCCTCCGCAGCCCTGGCTCACACGGGCCGGGGTGAATCAAACCCGACGGGGCCCCAGGAGGCAGGGCGCGTTTGTGGGGAGGGGGAGCCCAAACTCCGGCCGTTCCAGGTGCGCCTCAGCGGCCAGACTACATTTCCCAGGATTCCCGCGCACACCCACGCGTGTCACTGCCTAGCTGTCGGTTTCGGTCGGGGCCGCTGCGGAGCCCCGACGCTTTCTGGGAGTCGTAGTTCGGCGCCTCACGGCGCGCAGGCGCAGTTCCTCGTGGGGCCGGGCGGGTCGGCTCTTTGTTCGCGGGCCGGTTTGGCCACGCACAGGTGAGGGAGTGCCGGTGGAGTCAGTCCCGGAGGGAAGCACACGTCCCGTATCGGGGCCCCCGAGGGCAGGGTGATCGTGGGCGGGACGTCCGCGGGGCGCCTAGAGCGGGCGCCTACGAGCGAGGGAGGGAGGGGTGGGGCGGGGATGCGTGTGGGCGTGGCCATGCGTGGGTGTGCGTGGGCCCGCGGGCACGGGCCGGGAGGGGCTGGGCACCGGGGCAGAGCGTGGGTGGCCCCGTGGCAAGCCTGGAGAAGCGTCTTCGTTGTATCCCTTTACAAAGTAACCTCTTAAAGGGCCACATTGTGTTGCCCCCTCCGGGGGCTTTCTCGCACCCTGATCCCTCCTTCAGGGCTTCGGAAAGCTGGTGAGAGGAGAGAGGAGGGCGGCCGCGGTGGGGTCCGTTCATTGGCCCGCGCCCATCGGCCATTTGGGGGAGCGTGGCAGGGAAGCTGGAGGGAACCTGGCGAGGGGGTGCATTTTTGACCCCCGAGTTCGGTTTGGGAGAGGAATGATGTGGGGAGGTCAGAGGTCGAGGTGGCCTAGGGGGAGATGCTCAGGGGTTGGCCTGCCTGAGCAAAGCTAGGGCTGTCTGGGAAGGTGGCAGTCAGGAGGCTACAGGAGGGAGGGGGCGGCTCTGGAGAGAGACCCCCCAGCAGACCCCCCGAGGAAAGGAGCTACACAAATCCCATTCCCCCATTCTCTCCAGAGCACCCCCCCATCCCCACTCCAGTCCACTCTCTTCAGGGCCTGCCTGCGGAGGCCTCCCCACCTCCAGCCAACTTGTGTGGAGCTTGTGACTGCCCTGTTTGATGCCCTTCGCCCCCTGGATCCTCTGGGAGTCACGAGTGGTTCAGAAGGCTGGATTTCAAGTTGGAGGCGCAGGGTTCAAATCCTGACTTTGCCCCATAATATCTGTGTGACTTTGGGCAAGTCACCTCAATGTCCTCATCTGTAAAACAAGAGAGCCCAACTAGATGGTCACTGAGATCTATTGCAGCTCCTGCTCTCTGCTCCTTCTTGGCCTGAGTTGCTTTCTGTAGCTGAGGCCCGTCATACCATTCCATCACCATCCTCACCATCATCACCCTCACCATCCTCATCACCCTCACCCTCACCATCCTCATCACCATCATCACCCTCACCACCCTCACCATCACCATCCTCATCACCATCCTCGCCACCCTCATCATCACCATCACCATCCTCACCACCCTCACCCTCACCATCACCATCACCATCATCACCCTCACCATCACCCTCACCCTCACCATCACCCTCACCATCACCATCCTCACCACCTTCACCCTCACCATCACCATC